TATTATTATAACTAAACAATGTTAATCTAATATATTAATAATGTTTATTATAGATGTATTTTATTTTTATTTAATACGACAATATAGATTTTGATTATTTCAATATTTTTTGTATCGTTTGGCGACTAGGTAAACAAATATCAAATAATCTCAAAACAATCACGTGCAGTTTAAACTGTGCACACGACTGTGTCAAATATGCTGAAAATTATTAGATAAGCCTCTTTCTTCAACAAAAAAATGTTTCACTACACTTATTATTATAAATTATGGATAATTTTATTTATGGTGGGCTTAAATATAAAATGTCTTCGCATTTTTTAGTGTTTTGCTTCGATGCGAATCTGAAAAGGTTGGGCATTTTGATGGTCTATGCGTCAAAAAACACTATTTTAATCTAATTGAACACACACTTCATCACCAAAAATTAGAACGAAATTGACAGTTTTAGACATTACGAAAAATAAATACGTTATTGTTAAATAAAGTATTTTCTAATTTTTGCTCTGTACTTTAAAACTGCTATAACTTTTTTTTAAAAACAATGATCCTAATAAAATGTTAATAGAGTACAGAGACAATGAGCTGTTTATTGATATCATTTTTATGAAAATTCAATGAAAAACCTATGTATAGGATAAATTTGGATAAGACTACCAAAGCATAAAAAAAAAAAAAATTATCATCTCAATTTTTGAAAATGATTTGGACCGTCCGACAACTTATATACTGTATAAAATTAATGTTCTTAATGTGAACTACAATATAAATAAATAAAAATTTTCTGACGATTGTTCTACTATGAGATATTATAAAAGTAAACAAATTAACAATTTTTACAAAAAATTTACTTTATAATCAGTTTAAAATGTTACGAGAATCGTCTGATAAATTAAAACCTACACTAAATTAAAGCTATTTTAATCGTATGTTTTTACAAAAAAATTCTTATAATTTTGAAACAAACAGCTTATAGCTGTGGAGCGTACAAAATTTATTATGCTTTCACTATTATGAATGAGATGAATTTTGATCATAATTTTAATCCCGATGCATATAAAGATGACTTAATAATATTGTTAAAAAATTCAGATGACATGACAAAAATATGTTTATTTATAATTCTTATTGATAATTAAATTTTTGGTTGTCAAATACATTGTAATTAAAGAGCTTTAGTCAACAGAGTACTTTATATATATTGTTATATACAATATGTTCAGTAAGTAAGAAAACGGGTCAATTGTTACAAACAATGAGAACAATAGAATCCCGTTTCCTTACTTACTAAACAACCTATAAATGTAAAAGTCGGTATATTAGACATTAATTAATGTTAAATATATTGCAAGATGAGAAAATTTCTTAGAAAACTATATTTTTTATCACAACTATCTTTTTAGGCATTTTATTATATATATTAATGATGACGAAGCCATGTTCACTAAATCAAATCTGTACATCGACACAAAATTTCATTTTTATAATATTCTGAACTATGAACCATTTGCAAAATTACATTATGTAATTTACTTATCAGAAATTTTTACCAAAGGTCTAAGCATTGTAAAAATGTATAATCATGACGTCAACTACTTTTGCCAACATTATAAATTCAAATTCAGTCAAGTACCCCACATTAGTATTGTTTATTTCAACGTCTAGTAAAGCAGCAGAACCAAATTTTATACTACAAATTCAAAATAAAAAGGAAAAATGGTATCCATAAAAGTAATTTTAACTTTATGCATTGTATCTACAGCAATAATTCAGGTAAACAATTTTTAATAAGTATACCATTCTTATTCATCTTGGATTTTTCGTGATAATAACAGTTAATAAACTAAATCAATTTTAATATTTGTCTATTCTTTCGTAGGTTTACAGTAAACCAGCTGAACCACAATCAGACTTACTCAATCAATTAGAAAAATCCTTCAAAGATTTAAACAACAAAATTAAAGATGCTATGAATTCTGAAAGTGTAGACATGTATAAAAAGAAGTTAAACGGTTATCTAGACGAGTTGAACAATAATTTAAAATCTTATTCAAAATCGGTGAGTACAGTTTACAAATTATATTGAATATTTAGTCGAATAATTCACGAGGTTATACTTGTTTTTACCAGTTCGAAAATTCTGAATTTGGAAAACAAGCAAATAAGCAATTTTCATCGGCAGTGGAAATTTACAACCGTAACGCTCCAGCAGATTTTTCATCTCAAAAAGTGAACGAAAAGCTTGAAAGTGCCTGGAAATCTACAATCGAATGGTTTAGAAAGATGACTAATTAAGAGAATATTTATAAAACAAACTTTACTTTGAGGTAATGACATTTAACAAATTATTGTTCGTGTAATGACTAATTAGCTATGGTCAGCCAATATTTTTGAAATTAATGTTGTTTTGAAATTTTTTAGATTAATTATGTAAAAGACCTAAAATTAAAACCAAATGAAGCTGAGAATGGATATAAATTAAAATCATCTTACATTAATTCAGGCAATATGACATTTAACTTCATAATATGTGAACTACGATGAACATGTTTAACTATTTATTATTTAGATATAAATAAAAATAAATTGATTGATTTAATTAATTTAGTTATTGTATTGAAAATTTTAAATTTTTGGTAA